CGGCTTGGGAAACTCTTTTTTATCAAAACTTAAATGACAAGTAATGTGACATCTAAAAGTTTTAAAAACATATGTACGAGATAACCCCAAATGCTAATATATTTAATTGATACAGAAATTGCCCAGAAAATTGTCAACGCCGAGATGGTGATCCCTCCATTCAGTTACACTGGGCAATATCTGGTTACTCTTAATTGATACAGAAATGTTTATCCCCGAGAGAGATCTAGAAATACCGGCGAACCCTCCATTCAAATTTGGCCCTCTATGGCAATTAGGTTTTTTAGGCCGTCTCTATTCGGTTCGATGTAGGATACTTTTAAATAGTATTCAATTATATTTAAATTGTATCGAGATATATTTCCCATTAACAAAATCATTTTTTCAGAAATCCACAATCTGAAATTCCAAAATTTAGCTTAGTTTAAAATAACTGATACTTGCATTTACATTTCAAAAATTTGGTACCGTCGAAATGCCCCAAAATATATACTATAAGTATTATTAATCAAATAGCCCGATGTCAATTGATCAGCTGTGCGGTGTGATCTACTGATGTGAAGGAATCTGCGAGTATCTTTGGCCCGAGGGTTGGGCTAAATGAAATGGCGGTACGGTTCAGTTATTCCTTTGAAGTAAAGCCAACCTTGCAGACGACATTGTAAAAATATTGTAAGGTTTTGTCATTTCCTGGGAAAATTTTGAATAAAGTCTTTCAATTTTTTTCATTTTTATACATTTTTGGATACCCTCGTAATATTCGCCCACGCATGTTGGTGAAATTCCACTCTTTTTGCACGGTATTCCATGCTATAAAAATGACCCTTAGTATTTCTAATAGGGTCAATGTTGCATTGTTTGAAAATAATGCCCCCTAAGTAGATTGGTTACCATTAGTGAAAGCGGACTGAAAGAACTTAAGAAATTATTTACTCTAAAATTCTATTAGGCCTTTTGTCAACAATTTTAATCCTGTTCTTATAACATATAAATTCTGCCACTGGGCTTGAAAATCCCCCTTGCAGACGATTTTCTCAAAAAATTATCTTTACCCAGAAAAACTGAATTGTCCCACTTAAACGTATTAAAATTTTATTTAAAAAAACATACATTAGTTTAAAAACATCCTTAAAAATATCTAAGCTTACGTCTACGGATTTAAAAAAATAATCAGTGATTGAATTATTAAAATTGTCAAAATTTGATGCAGGTGTTTTCAAAGGGCGTACTCTGCAATCAGTTTGCTACCTGATAAGTCCATAAGAAAATATTCGTGGTTCATATTTAATTAGTGATTTAAATTAGCTTTCATCTGGGACGTAGGGTCAACGAAGAAAGCTTCCCCCGGCTGCGCTTAGTTTATCATACGGGATAACGGTGATATCCCATTGTCATATCCTATTTGTCTATGAGAGAAATACTATCATCAACTAGTTATGTAACAACAGTCTAGGGTTTTAAGACTAACCATAAATTTTTCTTGGATTCCATGAGAATCCAGCTGGGTAAATCAAATAAAATAATGCTATAATATTTGTCATAGATTTTGCAATCGTAATTTTATTTGTTTTTGTGTGTGTGCACCTATGTGAGAAAATGCTCAAGAAATTCTGTGGCATCGAAAAAGCAAAATTAGCCGTTATAATCAACCCAAAAATTGTCAAGAAATACCATATAAGAATAATAGCTAGTAATACAAGAATAAGTTATTAAAGAGAAAAACTGGGACACTTTAAGTACGGTTGCGACTTCTTTTCTAGTCTAAAGGTAAAGTCCATACTCTAATATTAAAACACCATCAGTCCATCCTCTCAATCTTTAATTTACAGACTGGGGAATTGTATTATTGGGGGAGGGGGACGAGGCAAGAACCCGGGGGCAAGAGGCTCGATACAAGACTTCTCATCCTATCACTGCTATCACTTACAGAATTGATTTTACAAATTATAAGATGGCTTACTTACTACACTTGTTGTTCATATTGGTATATTGCATGTCTACATGTATGTTAACACATGTATGTAAATATACATGTAGTACATGTATATTTGCGTAACACTTTGTATAGTGTCTACTGGTCGCGTGTCAAAAGATATTACCAGATTACACACCTCAGCTACCTGTGCGCATATAGCCCCTAAACAAATATCGTCTGCTATTACCAATTTTGCGCATTTTCTCTTAAAAATTGAATGAAGTTTATGATTATTTTACATTTCTATAAAATATAGAGTTTCTCCTACACGCCCATGTAATTTTATCTTGATCCGACCACTAGTTTTGGTGTTATTGGCGTTCATGAACAACACAGTCGTGACATTTATTTAGGTGTTGGAGTAAACCATCTAAATCCTCAGGTGTAGCTTCAATTAACAGGTGAAATTACACCTGAATTATATAATATATTAGGACAATATACCGGACCCTTGCGATGGAAATTCGAATCCTCTTAAATTCAGAGTTTTCTTAACGGTTCTGAGTACACTGATTTGAGCGATTACTAAGTAAAGTAGAATTCTGCAGAATTAAAAATTCTGAATCGAAAGGTGTGAAGATTTGTAATAGATTAAGCCTGGACAAAAAAATGCATTGCTGAATTGCAAGGCGTATGATACCATAATCGGAGGGCATTACGTATTTAGCTGATTCTCCCACTGTGCTACAAATTAGAAATGAATAATGGATCCTTTGTCTCGTTGGGTGTAATTAGAACTTTACCATTGTAGCCCATTCCGCTCCAGGTCGAAAAGTCAATTTTGCTTTGCCGATGTTTTGTCCATGCTTCTGTCATTTTTGAGAATTGGTTATTTCCTGGGATTGAATTACACTTAATAATTGGAGCCAATGTTGTATTGTGATATTATCTCAATTGATATTCATTCATTTTTGTGCATGGTTATTTGAATGGTTTTTATTAATATTTTTTTCATTTTTGGTGTCGTTTTCATTTCTTTTTTCCTTCGTTTTTTAGTTTTCGGCAATTTAGTTTTGTTTTCAAAATTAGCAAAGCAAGTTGGTGAACTTGACGATTGATTTTAACACTTACAAATGCAGAATTTCAATCAAAATAAACTTTAACATTAGATTCAACTGGCGTGATCAATGTCACTTAAAATTGAACATTTTGAAAACAGAATAAGGCGTTTTATTTTTGTAATGCTGTATTCTAAAAATATAATTCTACGTGCAAACTACGAAATAGAAACGTTGACAATAAAACTCCGAGAAAGAAAATAGGTCATGCTGTACAAAATGATACATTTGTCGAAAATTCAATGAATTATAAAAATAGTCGAATAGCTTTTTCAATGTGTAACGTAATCATTAATGGTAAAATTCAAAGTAAAAATTGGTCTTGGTCATCAATAGTTTAATGGACAGAGTTGTAGGATCGGGATTACTCCAAAACAGAGCATCACCGGGGTGTGATAGTATCTAATATCGTGAAAACGATAGAAAGCATACGTTATTCGGGTGTCATGTATCGCCCTTTGAATAACAACATGTCAGTTTTTTGCGTTTTTTATAGCCAACTTTGAAAGAGTTTAGTGGTGCGGTGAGACTCTGAGGGAAGAGTTCAGATAGTCGATTCATCATCGCGATTTACGGCTCATAAAGCTCACATCCTTGGTGAACACCTAGCAATGGAGGTATTTTCTCCTCACCAGGGGTCTCCGCTGTAGATCACGTGATTGCCGTATAGGCCAATCAGATTTATGCACTACTGGTGTGGACTTTGGTATTTGAATCTGTCTTTTGGAGTTACAACTGAACGATTTGAATCAAAGGAAACGAAATCTCTGCTTGTCGAGATTCCCTCCAAGATTATGAATTTTTATAGGTAGCATTTGCATCCTTGAGTGTTTTTAATGTATCGGGGTCGGAGGGTCAAATAATGAATTTTATACCTGTATACAGGGGATCAGTTCGTATACGAATATTATATATAAAGCTTCACACTCAAATACGAATGGTTCTTGGTGGAATAATATTTGCAGTAATCATTGGTAGTCCCCTTAGAAGACTAAATTGCTTTGAATTTCTATGGTTCAATCTATATCGTTGATTTCAAGATTTGCATCATTTTATAATGTTTTTAATCGCGAGCTGACGGTTAAAGGGTTGCGCTGTACAAGCCTCTACCATTAGCTAATGACTGTATTAATTATTTAAAGAAAATCTCGGTGGAAATTGTATCGATTTCAGAGCTTTGTGCCAATAAAAACATTTATAGAAAGAGGCTTCGATTTATGAATACTACAATATCGCCCATTTGAGATTCATCGCTTTTATTGTCGCCTCGATGATATTTTCATTTTGGATTCATGTTTTATATTTCACGTAACAATTATAGCTAACGTATTTTCATACTTGCAATTAATTCTATAGAGCGTGTACGGCTTATTTCAAGATTTTACCCAATTTGCTTAAATCCATTTAACAAAAAGAGATTATCCTTTAATCTGTTAGAATCCGGATTATTGAAATGTGTCCTTCTACCCCACCGAATGTTAAAAATCGCCAGTTTTAACCGTTTAACTTTAGCTAAAATGCACCTGAATTACCGGCCATAAATTCTAATAATTTCTGAATTTATACTTTTAGAATGTTTTGCTTTCATGGCGTGTTGAAAGCATGAAAGGAAGATATATGTGTTGGTTTTTGCTACATGACAGTGTATATGGACCCATTGAGACTGTATATTGAATATATCACAAACACTATGCATTATCCCCAATAACAAATCTATTGGGTTTTCTATGGGTCGTATTGAGGCATACTCAAACCCTTTCTACTCGTTTGAAAATACATTGTTCGTCTTATGAAAGAACTCCTTTCTTCCTTGGCCTACCATATTGCATTATTGCTGTAGAGTATAACATGAATAATGTAAAATCATCCTTTATGGCCTTATTCTTTGTGTGATTTGCAAGCTAATATTCTATCAAAAGCTGAATTAGTGGCAAATGCTTTCATTTTCCTGCTTTTTCTATTTACAGTAAGGACGTAGCTGCTTGGTGAAAATCAAGGCTGCTGTAGCCAAACTCCACCGAATCTCCTGATTTCGTGGATTTATGAAGACGCATAAAAGCTCATCTTCGGGGAATTAGAAAAATTACAAAAAATCATTAGGATTTATGGCGGATTACAATGCAATGTTCAAGTACCTTGGGTTTCCTACATTGGACTCAATAACGTTCTGGGATTACTCTGATTCGGATTACAAACATCAATTAATTAGGATGCAGTGGATTATGAATGTACCCCCTGGGGCTAAATTATTTAAGTGTCGATTTGTGAATTCGAAAATTGTGAGCTGCAAACGACGTGAGAATAACACTTATATGGATCCGGGTTGATAGGTCACATGGGATGGCATTATGGTGCCCTCTTGTGTCGTTCTGGATATCACGTGACTACCGTTGGATAATAATGGTTAATTTGCTGTCTGCAATAAGACATGCCCCATCACCCCCCCCCCCCCCCTCCCTCCATTCCGTATTCCCTCTAGTATAAGCATGTACCCTATCTTCCCGTTACTACAGCTCCTGCCCTGATGCATATGCAACTGTGAGCTCCAACTTCGCTCTACGTCACCGTGTAAATTAAAGGTGTTTCGAAGTTTCAACTCGCTGACTGCATGCATATTGTACAGTGAGAACGCCTGACACTTGGACCGAATATTCGATTCCATAGCCCTAGAACTGTCACAGTAAGACGACAACAGGTAAATTGCTTTAATACTTGCTAAACTATCAAATTAATTTATAAACGATAATATGGCTTATTTATTTGTGAAAGTAAATTGCTAAACATTGAACTCGTGTCTTATTTATAATTTCAATTTGGGAATTTTGATAGAAATAATTATTGAAATCGCGGTTGAGAGTTGAGAATTTCAGGTGCAGCTAGAAATGTTATCAAAATTTCAATTTTTAATGTAAATATTGTTTCTAATGGCCCAGTAGGCCGTGTAAATAATCAGTATAGCACTTAGTGAAGAAATGTTGTATGTGTAAACATTCTTGTTCACTTGGTAAACAATAATGTTTACATGTGCCACTTTACGCTACCAATTACAGATTTTCGACAGGCGGGTTCGCTACATTTTTTAATCCCCAATCAAGATCTTTAAAAAAATTAATCTCATTAAATGTTATAATCTTTTAGGAAATTAAAAATCAATGTCAGAATTTAAGGGGATGTGGTAAACATTTGGGTAGGCGAACCTGGCAAATCTTTTCAGATAATGTTTCCAAAGTTAGTTATTTGGGTTGGAAAATGGTTTCAGATATTTTTTTTCTTGGTGTATATATAACAATATCATGCCTTTTCTCTGCTGTTTTTGAGAAATAAAATCACGGCCCGAAATAAGGGACTTAAATCTTTTTAATGGATTGCGCAAATCGTTTTATTATGTTAAGTCCTTTTTAATCAAACTTGGCAGGACTGCTAATTTCATGACATATATCCAAAATATTACAAACCTGGTTGGTTTAATTTTTTAATAAAATATTTCTCGCACCTGGTACACCCTTATAATCTGACTCATCAATATTTTGAATATAAATTACAAAATTACTTTCAGAAAAAACAAAATTTCAACTTCGGGTGATTTTGATTACATTAACTTTTTTAAGTAACTTTTAATGCTTTTAGACCGGATGATATCAAAGTGCTCGAAATATGTGACATACTTCAACATATTTGGTCTTAACATTTAATAATTAAAATGAGAACTCAAAAATATCGCCAATTAAACAATTCAAGGTTTAGTGTCATGTATAATAAGACGTTCGTTAGTTAATTGTAATTAATAGTTCCTGACGGGTCATAATTAGAACAAAAATTTCAACCTGTTCATTACAAATGTATATTTTAAACAATATGTAAATCCAATATTCGTTTATGCTTTACGATTATAAAAATGTTGCCTTGGTTTTCGGTGTTCAGATATTTGTAATATTAAGCTTAATATTCCAGTCGTTCGCCCTCAGAGTGATGTTTAGTGATATCTAACCAGATGCAACCATAGCTTTCCCCCACAGAAGTAAACGGTACCATACGATACACCTTAATTAATTAATTCACTGCTTATTGTACCCTCAAATTAATAGCAATATCTCTAGAGGCGATAAATCCAACAGTTCGGCATTTGAGATTACTTCAAATGTACATCATTATCAGTTTGGACGACTTTGGCATTAAACGATTTATTTTCAAATTATTTCATTCTTTGCAAAAGTTTAAAATTTTTCGTTGCATTTCCAAGTAACGATGCATATAAAGGCAAAAAGGGCATTGCTACTGCACGCGCGAGGGATGACCGATCACTGTGTACTATAATATGTGTGAACATTGCGTTGGTCAGCTCAGTAGAATATTATCTTATTATCGCCTTGTTGTCTACATTCTGACTAATTATGAGTCCTAGACACAAGTTCGTCAAAATGGGATAATTAGAGCCCGGATTTTTAGGAAGAATTTTGCGAGCAACCTTCCTTTTGATGGTCTCAATTTTGGAAAAAAAGCAAAGCGTTTCGGTAATGATGTAAACAGATGAGATCGTTCTTCAATAATTTTGGGATTATTTAATTGCTATATTCTGATACGCATTGCATCTAATTTCCTACAATGGTAAATCTTATGTTGAAATTGCCATGGTTTACAGAGGTGTCATTAGAATGTCGTCCTATTACATTTGAAATAAATGAATGTAATGGACAAAGATACTTGAAATTGTAATTTTAATAGGATTGGAAATAGTTGAACAATTCCTCAAAACAACCAGCGATTTTTGTTAAAACAGCAACGAAAAGTCGCACATTGCCTGCTATTTATAAACGTCCTCCTGCATACCTTTATTTTTTATATATTTTATAAATTAATCGGTTACAAAATTAAAGTCATAATTGTATTCCTGTTATTCCGTCATATTTAAACTGCAAAATATTTTACATTTGGGATCATCCTATGATAAATTTAGCGGTTATCATCGGTAATCGTGTAAAAGTGGCGATGAAATAATTTCACTTAGCACGCAAAGTAAGGTTTTATAGCATCACAACCTCATTTGAGACATGCTCGCTAAGATTAAAGATGATATATACACGATTATCTAAATTGGCATGCAAATGAAAATAGTACATTTTGAATTAATTCTAATATCAATTGAGGTGACTGGTCTTGAATATAGCCCAAAATATAGACCTAAATGAATGGTAATGTTTATAATGGTAATTGTTGTAGTTTAACAATACACAGTGTAAAAATCATTGAATTTGGACTGTCAAATGTACTCGACGATTGAATCAATGCTAACGTTTTTTCAAAGAAGATTCCATTGTCTGGTCCTAATTTATCATTACCCAGGGTCATTTAGCCCCTGTGATTATGAAAACACAGACCGCTTATCGTTCAAACGAATTCCTGAATAGAATCCTCTATAGAATTATCATGGTTTTATTACCCCTATTGCCTAGAATGTTTGATTTTCATAATGGCTATGCCATTACCAGTCCCACTGCTTTGAAGTTAGGTTCGCCTCTCGCAGCCGGGACTTTGCCCAGTTCGCATGGGTCATTTACTATGCGCTAATGCAACGCCATCAAGGTGATTTACTCGTAGAGATGTTTAATTTCTATTAATATGAAGTTATGAGAATTCTGAAATTGTATAACATTCGAACTGTTGTTCACCCGTATCGTCTAGGTCAATTAGTATGTGAAACTCGGGGCAGTTTTGGAGAAATTTAACTTTGATATCACGAAATTTTGACAACTTTAAATATAAGCATTTGGGCTATTAAATCTAAATTGAAACACTTTATTTTCCATCCAATCTATATAACTTCTCCAATTTATTCTTACCACTAGACAGAGAACGCTGACTAAAACACAAAAATAACGGTATATTCTTAATGAAATTTGTTCATGCCTTCATATGTTCATATGGATAGAAATATCCCGTTAAGCTAATTGCGAACGATAATTGCAATCAAGCGGCATGGAAAAAACTACACTATACGAGCACATGTTCAAATAAACTTTGTAAAAACTATCTGAAATATAACAGGGTGATGTGCAGAATGCAATATTTGCCAGAATTATCAAAACAGAATTACATTGGGAAAATGTATCAATGAAAGTCAGTAATGTATTTCCGATATTATGCAAATGAGATGTTCTCCGATTGGCTACAACTGTAATTTTATCTGGCCCTCTATTGTGTAAAGTTCTCCATAGCATTGTTCAGCTACCGGTCTTGACAAAGCAAGCACCTCCTTCTCTGTACTTATTCGCACCTCGTCTTTTGTCGAAATGTTTTCCAATATTTACATTTGCTTTTATACACACATTCAGGGCCACGGTGATTTTCATGTAAAATACGTGTGCGTAGAATTAAATTATACACCCCCCTATGTATATTTATTCTAAGTGGCCCTAATTATGTATTATTAATTTCAGGTGCATTTCTTGACCGAAGCTTGGCGGTAACTGCATGGGTTTCATCGAGCGCTCTGATTGGCTGTTTGACGCACGGCTTGCTAATGTGAATAAGAAGCGAATACAAAGCCATCGCCCAGAGTATAATCGGCATTGAATAGCCAAGTATTGACGGCGAACGCACGACATTCAGCTGTAATCATAAAATTTGAACAGTTTATTCATTGACTCAATTCATCGTGTAAAACTCAGGGTAATACCGCATTGACAACTATATAGAGGACTGAATGGTTTTGTGAGGAGATTTGGATAGTCATATAGAAGAAAAACAGTGGCAATTTGAAACCTGAAAACAGTGCTCTACTTGAGCACAAAATTGGACATTGGGATACTACACATATAATCGTCAAAATTTTCGACCACGGACAACACGCGATGATGGAAGACATGAGAGGCCCACCCCCGGGTGATATGAGGGATATGAAATCACATCTACCCCCAGGACCCCAGCATATACAAGGAAACCCCCCTCCACAACAGACCCACGTTCCCGTGTCTTCACCCCCACAAATGCAACATCCTCCACAAACTACGACCCCCGGGTCTCAACACTCTCCGGGTTCACCATCAGGTATGTAAAAACACTAATAAACATATGTTCCTTATAAATGTAACAACGTAGCCAGGGTGAAACTTTGAAACATTCATATCTAAAAGTTTGTCTGAAAAGTTCAGATGATGAAAACTTGAACTGACATGATTATTAATTTTGGGGTACATTCATTGTACAAACGGCTTTATTTAAAGATCTGAACTATTTTCCAAATTATAGCTTGTATTCCGAGAAGTTTCTTTGGTTTCTTGAAATCGTGGTTCAACAAGAGTAAACCATATCTTGGCTACCTGTTCATGTATATAGGATAAAACTTTGGTATCCCGGGAAGTTTTGTTTAAAACACAGGTCATATTGGGTATAATTGGCTAAAATAACACATGTTTCAACGTTGTTTCTACTCTAACTCACTGTAAATGCTCAAACTTTACGCTTTTGGCTGTTGTACTATCTGTATGTATACTTTATATTCGTTCTGCACGTTTTAACACGCTTTTGTATATGATAATACTTTGCTTTTAAAATCAAGTAAAATTTTATTGTTTTGCACCTTCACCGGAGATAATCTTGATTGATTGACGAATTCAGAAAGACATTTAATTATTAATTCGTGGAAATTGCACATGTCAAAAACACTAGCACTTTAATAGCTTATAAAATTGAAATAGTTCGGCATTTTAAGAAGTGCAAAAGTTAAATCAAATTTCAAAAGCGCCGATTTAGTGATATCACGCCGGTAATGCTTTTCTTGGTTTTAACAAAACACATGTGTCAACCCCACAACGGTTGATATGGTTGAGTCATGCAAAATATTTCCAACTTGGGGACAATAAGAAGATCACAGAAAAATATGAATATTCACTCTATAAAGCCCAGGGAAAAGTTAATACCAATGAACATTACGATGTATTTGTTTTTGTTTTGAAATATACAACATGGAAAAAATTACGGTAATTTACATGAACTTAAATTCTAATTAGATTATTCTAATACCTGCCCCGTGGGTCACGGAGTTATTTTTATATTAAATGACTAATTTTCCACGAAATGTTGTCCTATAATTAAACAACGTAAGCCCGTTATAGTGGTTAGTTTTAATATATCCTTAACTCGAACCTTGGTGCGTTTTGCTTTAATTGACGTTGACTTCAATTTGGTATGCATTATTCTTCTCATATGAATTAATCTCGCAATTTTTGTTTATCTGTGGTCGGAATTCTAATATGACATTATCGTTTTAATACAGCAGCATCCCATTTTCTGTATAATTAAAATCAAAGCGACGGAAAAACAAAGATGTAATGAATAAGCACTACATTCGAAATTGAAACTAGATTATATTTACGGATGTATGGCTAAAATCAAAATTTGAATAATATTAATTTTAATTTGAAGAATATTAACGTGGTTTTAAATTTTGGATTATATTTTTGATTTAGTAGAAATTCAACATGTGTCTATATGAAAGTAATAACCAAATACTGAGGGTAGAATTTAAATGACCCAGGGGCACGATTGAAAAATTGACCACCTGTGGTCGAGTGCTGTCTGACCATTATAATTTCCAACCCTATCTGCCATTCAAGTTAAACCATGCGGAATTATTCCAAATGCTCTAATAACGGGGTTTGATATTAAAAATACCAAAAGTAATTAACCATTGGAATTAAAATATAATTACGCTTGAGATGGTTTTATTACATGCAAATATTTGTATAATGTGAAGTTATTGCTTAATTAGATAGTATTCGCTTTCTAACGTAATCAGTTAAATTAACAATTTTTTGTTTCTTAAATTGTAATGCATTTACTTATGTAGCGTTGTTTTCCTTAACATTTTATGTGTTAATTTTAATAATTCAATTTTAATATTTGCGACTTTGACTGAAGATTTGAATAATAAATTTGGAAATGTTTTTAAATAATAAAATATTTAATTTTGAATTGGTCAAATAAATTAATTTGTGAATTTTCAAATAAAGGCGTATATGCAAGAACAACGTGTGCCAGTTTGTCAATTTAAAAAAATTCTCGTTCAAATTTTTCTATATTCCAATTACGTGAAATAAAAGAGAAACAAGAATCAACTTTGATATTTCAACATTAACCTCTTTACAATGAATCATTTTTTAATTATTTTTATTTTGGACGTTATTCTTGCAAGTATAACTTGAAACTTGATTCTTGATTTTTGTGTATGTTTTTTCATGTTATTCTTGAATCAATGTGTGATGCTATACGTTGTTGTACTTCACGGTGAATGGGCGCGCATGCGCAATATGTTTTCAGGAATGTCTCTTGCAGGCTTTATGTTGTGATGTAATCGTTAACGTTGTCGTTTCTCCGTTTCCGGCCTGCACTTTAATCTTGGTGTTCGAGTTTGTCTCTATCCAGCATAGCCTCAAACTGCATGTTGTCTGCACACATATTGATGACGTCACTCAGCCAGAACTGATGACGTCACTCACCAAGCATATGTTGACGTTTTCTAAGGTACGGTGACTGTCGGGAGGATGACGTAGTCGCTGCAGTACGAAACGCATGGGGGTTAAGGGTCTGTAACGTCATGACGTGCAGGAAACGTCAATCTTAAAAGGGGTCGGCTTTTGCAAGTCCCTGCTCTTCAAGATTGACGTTCTCTTCACGTTGAACGTGCTGCAGGGGCTATTGTTTATGTCTCTTGATGTTGCCTGCCTGGAAAACGATACAAAAATTCATACACACTTTAATGAAAAATGCATGAACCGATTTGGCTCGATTCTAAATCTCTGCATTTCGTGTATTTCCAGGTATGTCAACATCAAACAACAAAAACATTGACAAAGACCGCGTCAAGCGTCCCATGAACGCATTCATGGTCTGGTCTCGAGGTCAACGCCGGAAGATGGCGCAGGAAAACCCCAAGATGCACAATTCTGAGATATCAAAGAGGTTGGGAGCCGAGTGGAAGCTACTGACTGAAACAGAGAAACGTCCCTTTATAGATGAAGCGAAAAGACTCCGTGCAGTACACATGAAAGAACACCCAGATTATAAGTACAGGCCGAGGCGGAAAACGAAAACCTTAATGAAAAAGGATAAGTACGCTCTGCCCGGTATGGGCGGACCAGTCCAATCCATGGGGGGACGTGAAATGTACCCATTGAATGGATACATGCCTAATGGTTACCCAATGATGCACGATCCAAATTCTTACGCCCAGCAGATGTCTCAGGGTCAATTCCCGCCCTATGGGTACGCGGGGATGCCACCCGCTGCGCAAATGTCTGGCCAGATGACGACAGGCTCGTATATGAACGGTAGCAATAGTTACAGTTATACAATGGCTTCACCATATTCAATGCCAGGGGCACCTCCTGGTGGTCAAATCAAATCAGAAGGTGGTCAGGGTGGCCCACCTCGTGTAGACAGTCGCGGGAGACCGTGTCCCGGGGATCTTAGGGACATGATCAGCATGTATCTCCCAGGGGATGCTAATGACCCAAATGCTCAACAAAGGGCGTTGCAAATGCAGGGACAATATGCTATGAGCCACCAGGGCTCTCACACTCCACCCGTTAGCGGAGGCCCGGAGTCATCTACGGTTCCATTGACTCATATGTAGAAAAACTTGTTATCGTTCGTCACTGGTTCGCATCCACTCTAGCCTGTGGTCTAAACCCCCTCAACTACCACATGTTATATAAACATAATATAAACTCGTGAATTATCCAAAATTAACCCATTCAATGTACCCATGGTCAAATTGGTGCTCACAATGATGTTTATGTTCAAGTACAAACAGTTTTATTAATCGTGAAAAGATCAAAATTCAATTGAAAAACGATATCTCACAAAGCGAAAATTTAAGTATAAAAAGTACTTTTGTTAACGGGTTTAGAAACACAAATATCAAACTGAGTTGTATTAAGAATGGCCACTCATGTACATACCTTAAGTTAACGATTTAACTGGATTTTGGCACAGCGGTTTGTTTAGTTGAGGTTGGGTGAATTCGTGGACGCGAGCCAGTGGTGACCATGGCCAACACATGGCCCGAATTAAACTCCACAAAATTGCCATTACGTTCGTGTATTTTCGTTTCTTTATTGCCAGAGTTTGACATTTGAAATCAGTATTGTAGTGTATATAAGACAATATGTGAATTATAACAGAACTGCGCATGCGTAGCACGTAGCGCGCAGAGCACCGTAGAATCATATTAGTTACTAAAGACGCGTAACAACGTTCGCATCAAGCCCCGGATTATTTCTTGCCACTTGTATATACTGGAACTACAGTTTCATGTGGGGGTCTGTGTTATAAACGTTTATGTGTACGGGGCTAGATGCGTACGATGTCGCGATATTTTATAGAGATTTATAACTAAAAGTAAGAGATCTAGAGCCTGGGACAACAACTTACACATTTGTAATTATATTTTGTTCGTTAACGAACATGTTTTTATGTACGCATGTATGTATTCAAAATACGATGGAGTTTAATATCATACATGGCTTTTAAATAGGAGAATCAGGATTTTGTCTCGGTTAACAGTAGATCATACTGTGATATTTGATGCACGTGCACGTTTGCACGTTACCCCGTTAGCGTTAGTTTACATATGTATACTTCCTATTGTTGATTATTATGTTAATTTACATGTAAATGTAAAAGAGTTCAAAATGATAATCATCTTAGTAGTATCATTGGACGTTAGGTTTTTACGCTATATCTTATGGTTCCTTTTCAAGTAACATTCCGGGAAAACGTTTACGTCTCACGTAACATTCCAAGAAAACGTTTACGTTTCACGTAACATTCCAGTATGCTAAACGTTCATTGCGTTGATTCTCATAGGTTGTTTATCTGTGAAACCGTACATTCCTTTATATACGGAGCTGTAAGGAAATCAAATAGTCCCATTATTAGTTGGTTTATATCTTTAGTCGTGTTATTTGTCTGTGGCCTTTATGCCCGATATTGTGACGAACAAACCTATTTGTGTTTGCGCTAGAGCTGTACATGTATAAAGTTTTATTTTCACCTAATGTATATTCCTTTTCATTATTTAGAAAGAAAGATAGTTTATGACTATTCCTAGTGTATAGGGATACAACATGCGATTATGACATCTGATTGCATTTTCATTGCAAAAAGCGTGAATAAGTAAAAAACATTTTAGTGTGGTGTCTCAGAAGTTATTGTACATTTTATTTCATTCCATGTTGGTGTCTCAAAGTATATTTGTATATTTTATTTCATTCCATCCACAGGTTCATTCCACAGTTAGTAGTTTGAAAAATAGTTTAATTGTTGCATGATGTCTGAATCGTGCATCATGTAACTTTCTTGAACAATTGTCCAGAGAATTTTCTAAATCATTGAGTCTCAGGTGAGGATAAGTGTAAGTGTAACGTCAAATGTCGTTCATCTTGTACTCTATTTTCCAAACTATAAACCGTGTTGTCATTTTTCAAAGTATTAATTGTGGTATGAAACTCCTGTTAAGTATATTTAGCAGAAACTTGCCAATACAAGGGTGGCTGTAATACCCGGGGGGGGACATTTCATTGGCTACAAGCCCAGTGATACTCTGAAATTGCGAACGTAACTCGCTCCGGGTATTACGTCCTCTCTTGGTCAATACAGTAATTCCGAGATACATACAGTACTAGTACTACATATATTATTTTAGCATTTTATACAGAGAGTTCAATATATTGTATCTAATATTGTATGAAGTGTAAAATGAAATGTGTGTTGGGTAGTACCAAAAGATCCTATTAAATCCCAAAGAATTATGGGAATCGTGGTACCTCCTCTAAATTGTACATAGCGCCTTATGCTTTGATAAAAGAAATACACACTTGCGCAGAATTTTGATTTTTCAGTTTTGACACAAATAAGTAATAATGATTGGACCACAATAAATGAAGACATGATCTGATCTATAAATATATATTTTGTTGAGTGAAAAAATATGGGTAGTGCTCAGAAATAAAAAAGATGTAAGATATACCCTTATATGATACAAATTCTAACAATCGTACATTATTGATAAATTAACGATAGATTCAGTGTTGGGAGCCCATGATAAATATCATGAACATATGCAGTTTGACAAAGCAATGGTATCATTTATGTCATGAAGTAGAGCTAGTAATTTATTTTCCTGCATAGTTTCGGATTCCTATCCGCCCATTGGGACAATAAATTCATAAATGAAATGAAGTCATTCATAGTTCCATGTAACCCTAATGTTCGTATTATTATTGCCATTCTCAATGATTAATTGCTTTTATGTTGACGTTCGTTATTTCGTTGGTCACTTCTTCACCTACTTGATTTTATGTATATCAATTGTTGAAAAGATATATTCCTATTAGATCTATGACTTTATTAAGATTTGTTGCTATTAATTTTGAATGAGACTTTCATTATTTAATTATGACTTCATATATTCAATCATGCGATAAAAAGACGAACGGAATATTTGTCATTCTGGTTTCGTTATTTATAGCATGGTTGTTTGTGGATGTTATAATTTTGTAATGAATCATTCTGCCGATAAAGTTCCTTAATTCATATGACTGCCAGTTGATATGATATGTTGTCATTCACCTCCGCAACCAACCGCCATATTGTATTTCTCATCCATAAGCTTATAAAAGTGTGATTTACAGGAAATTCTAAACTATTGTCACAACTATGAACCATTGACAAGGTGTGACCATCCTCAAATATGCAGGGGTCTGAAATCGCAAGATGGGAGGGGGGTATGGCGTAATCAAGCAGTTCTGATCCCAGGAACATTTTAATTTAAAAGGTCCCAGTAGCTCAAATGTGTCCACCTTGGGAGTAGATTTCCAGAAAATAATTTTATATGATTTTCTCCTCAACCTATTTTACCAGCTGCTCTTCCCTCAACACTCCCCGCCAATTGTAAATTTAGATGAGCTGTAACCCGAGAAAGCTTCAATATACCACACATGTGCGGATAATGTCACGCTAGGCATGTTTTGAAATGCAAAATACGGTCAGAAATAGAGGAATAAGCATGATATAAATGAGATAAACATAAAGTTGGTATTCCAAAATGTGTAGATATCTCAAGATTTCACGTAGTTCATTCAATTTTTTTAGAGAAATGACGCGTTTTCGGCATGACCAGATAAAATGTAACTTGAGTAAGGTTCGATATAAGCATGACATTTGAGCATTATCTTGATCGAATATCTGATCACTATCGCATGCAACAGTTTGAAATAAATCCAAGGTAATCTGAGTTTACGCTACAACACATTTTTGAAATCTCGTCTGCTTATTTATCAATTTGTTCAAGTATATTTCACGTCGTTTCTCACTGAAATTTGAATGAAGTTTCTAGAATTCTTGCATTTCTCTACAATTTAGAGTGTTGACTACAAGCCTGTTTACCCCTTTCCTTGCTTATTTCCCAGTTTTCAACTTGGTTTCGATTTAAAAAGCATGGCCTGCATAACCAGATAACATTTTTCCTAACCATTGAATTCTACAACTTGTGGGTGTTCTAATGGACAAATCAATGGTGTCATCATCGTCCGAAAATGGGCTGGGGTTGTTAAATTAATGTTCATATTTGATATGAATATGGTAGATCAGATTTATTAAAATTACACATTCATACCGATATCAGGTTAAGTGTATACAACGCACATTTGATGAAAGGGATTAACATTAAACAAAATGCACTAAACATTTTTTACAATACATAATTGAATACACGTATGATGTTTGCTGGTTTCGTCTCCTCCAATGTCTTGAATAATCAAGATCATATTTAATACAGTGTTATGCTTGGTATTCACAAGCATAGAAATAGAGTTTGATAACCGATGCATGGAAGTCCTAAGTGTGTAATTCTGTTTCGAAAGAACCAATTTCGTGCAGTGAAATTGGTTATAACTATAACATGAAAATATGTTGAACTTGATTGAAAATATTGTTGTGCTATTTAAATCAGATAAGAATGCATAAATTCATACCTGTCATAAACCAACTATTTTTGATATCTCATGCACATGTTCAAACGGAAATAAACCTAAAAAATAAATTCAGAACAGACAGACAACACTCAAGACTCGGTCACATTTGCTCTACGGCGGCCGTACGGTGGCTGTAGCTTCACAAAATCGATATGGAAAATCGATGTCGTACTGTTTATCACTATATTTCATGATGCATATTTCACTCTATTTTGGGAAGCTACGGTTGCCGTACGGTCGCCGTAGATCAAATGGGATTGAGGCACCATTGTGTATCATAGTATCTACCTGTATAATGAAACATATAACTGCCCACGTTTCTTTATCCGTTTACCACGGGGATCTAGTTCAAATTTATTTCAATTCAAAGAAATATGACCCGAATAGTCATAAAGTAAATATCCACTTTTGCCTGTTTACTCAATTATCGTGCTCATGTTTGGGTCATATTTCAATTATTGAAAAGGAAATTCACGAAAATCAATAATTTGAATTTATTTGAAACGTTCAATTCATTAGTTCATGAAGTCTATAAATAACTTTATATAAATACTTTCAGTTTGATATTCAAGTATGTTTAATTCTAATTTGTTGGTTGTTAATTTAAGGAACTTGTAGAGACTCATCTAGGATTAATTCGAAAAAAACGGTTCAGAATCAGATCTTGTATAATGTCCTTGTTTTTCAACCCCTATCTTTTCATCAGAGTGGGGAGTCATTGACATAAGGTATCACACCCCTAAAATATGATTGTAATGCCTAGTTTCGTAGGATTTTACCATTTTTCTAAATATTTGACCATATTTGTTCCATTTTAGAGATAATGCTAATGTGTTGTTACGTTAC